TCGAGGTTTCGGATGAGGTTTTGGGTTTCGGGTAAGATTTCGGGTTTCGGGTAGGGTTTCGAGGTTTCGGATAAGGTTTCGGAAGCTATAATCCGAAACCCAAAACTTTCGGATTTTAGCTCAAAGGGTTTCGGGGCCAACTCTAGTTCGCATTAGATTAGTCTGTATTAATAATGATTTAGTTACGTAGAACATGATTTATTACTGCATATTTTAATAGACCCTGCATAAACGATAAGCAAATTATCCAATAAAAATCATAAAAAAAAAAAAATTAGCAATAAATTTTTAATTTGTCGACTAAATCGATTTAGTCGATAAGAGTCATCTAAATCAACTAAGTTACTAGCTCCTAATCGGTTTAGGTAATGTGCCTGCATATTTAACGTCAAATCCGGATTTTGCTTGTACTACGATAATCCGGCTTAATAGTTGAATTCGATATAAATGGTTAAATCCGGATCCAAAATTATTTAAAAAAAATGATTAGGTAAAAATATAATCTTTAAATAAATAATAAAAAGCTCGTTTTTTTGTGTAATATTTTTTATAATGGGGTTTTTTTTGCAAAGCTGAAATCTGCATTGAGTCATGTCGATTACTAAATATGAGGTCGTTGTCAAAACGCGGCTTAGTGAGAATCGACAAATTGCTACAGATATTACCTTTTATATAAAAAATAATGTGCGTTTAAAATCCATAGATGAAATTATTGAGGTGAATCAAATTAAATTATTTCAAGAGTTTAAAAATCCCATTTCCGGTTTGAAATTCTGTATTTCTCTGATAATATATTATCATCATATAAAAAAAAAGATTTTATGAATCACTTACTTCAAAACAAATACATCTCTAATTTATTTCGAAATCAAAAACTTGAACATTAATTCTGAATCACCAAATTATTCATTTTTCATTTACCGTAATTTTGCTTGTTTTGAATTTAATTTGAGTATAATGATAACAATCACTTGTATTGCCATATCCCTCATCAAAACAATTCAGTTCACATTATTTTTGCAGTTTAGTTTATGAATAGATGATTTTTGTGTTGTGTAATACTGTTAAACCTCTCAAAACCGATACACATGGAGGACAGATTTAGTATCATTACTGAGAAGTTATCAAATTTGAAGCTTTATACGTGTATTAAATAAAATTTGGATCTGGAGGTAAATGCATTTTGTACATTCGAATCGAATGTATTTTGGCTGGCTTAGAATTTGGATATTTAAATTAACTAAATTCTAATAATTTGAATAAAATATAAAAAACTTCAATTATTTCTTCAAAAAATCTCGTGATCTGCGCAGATTGAAACCATACTAATCTAGTGTTATATATTTTATATAATTTATATTGATTTGAACCTATTATGCCGACTGAAATCACTAATTTAACCGAATCGGCAAAAAATCAATCGGCAAATTTTTTAACAGGTGTTTCAGAAATTATAACTGTAAGCTCTGAATTTCCATATATTGTAACAATTACTCAATATATCCTAGAGTGGAATGTGATGTGCATGTATTTTTGGGCATCAAATTTAAGTCAGTTCTGTAAAATAAGCGCCTTTATGGTAAGTTGTAAAGTATTAAATTTTTATAACGGTTCAGAATGCAAGTGTTTAACACTTGAAAAAAAACTTTTTCCAAATTTCAAAGAAAGTTAACGCAATTCGAATTAAAATGGATTGGAATATGCGATACGTATGCATATATATGTTACATATCTTTAGCAGCACGCAAGTGAATATTTTTCATGTACCATTTTTTTTTTAATTTTTCCCTGATATATGTCAATTTATTGTATAACGAACTAGTAATTTTTGAATAAAAGGTTTTTCCGAGAGTTAGCATTTACTATATTGAGCTAAAATAAGTTTAATCATTTACAGCTTGCTACAAGACGCTCATTTCACAGAATTATCTTACTGTACATATGTTTCACATCTGATGTTGAAAAATATACGACTATGTACATATATAAGCGCTTGATATATCCGGTTCACTCTAATTACCCTTATAATAATAATTTTAGGGATATACTGTATGTTATGTCTTTAATTATATGATAGCCACACGTTTTGTAAAACTTTACTTGATCCGCATATAGTGTTTATACCTTTTTTAAATTAATATTAGGTAAATGACACGATACCCAAGTGAACCGGTTTTTTTGAGATTGTTCCAAGGGACACTAGGAAAACGGATACAAAGATTTATAGTATTATGCCTCATTCTATTGTCCTTTAATTATGTGCTGAAGACATTGAATATTAATCAAGGTCCTTATTTGCAATATGGTATGATATTTAAGAATGAAGGACACTCCATTAATACATTTAATAATTACATCACATCGGCGTCTCATAAATCATTAGTAGTAATAGTTTCTCATGTTACCGAAATTAGAACAAGAAAATTAATTAGAGAATTCATGTTTGGTATTAAAAATAATTTGAGACCATGTATGGAACAAAATGGAAGTATCTATTATAAATTTTTAGTGAAACTTTATCAAGGTGTTAATTATAAGATACTAAAAGAGTTTAAAGCAGAAGTTATGGAATATGATGATATTATAGAGTTTCCAAATTTAACAGATAATGATGATTGGCAAAGGATTGTTCTTACTTGGGTATGTAAACATATTTTAAAGTGTTTTTAAATTTATAAGTCTTATAATATTCATATTTAATAGATTCAATCGCTTGAGAATGAAATTTCGTATGATTACGTTGCAATTATTGATTCGCATTCTGTAGTGGACCTTAAAAAACTGCGACAAATTCTAGATTCATCTATTATTAATACCTACACCCTAACACCAGAACAAAGATTTTATCTAGTTTGGGGTCGCTTTGATTCAAAAAAGCAGATGATATGTTCATAATCCTTGGTCGAGAATCTGTTGATATTTTACTTAATATTGACTATTTTACTATGCCAAATAGAATTAAAGCTTTAACAGAATTATTTCCCAATCGAATATCTATGGCCTATTACTATTACGAAGTAGAAAATCTTACTAATAATAGCAAATTATTTTTCATCAATGATCAGATTGGAATGATAGTATGGACAAATTCTGTCAAAAGCATTCTAATAGAAAAAACAATAGGGGTCGGTCACGTATATCTAGAAATTGACGTAAGAGATTTAATAGCACATTTATCACTAACCAAATCTATAATATGTCATCCTATTAAACATGAAAGTGGTAAATTA